AATTGGTTTTAGATTGAAATTCCACAATTTTACAACAATGACAAATGTTATGTCACCATGTTATTGCAGGCAATATTTTTGGAACAAATAATTTCTTAGGCAATACCACCACTGGGATATGTACACCCATCATAACCTGCAAAACCAAGAGATCACACATTAGAAGGAAAGTCCAATAAGAAATATATACTGAAAACTAAGAACAAATAGTGGACTAAAAACTCTATGCATTTATGTGTGCTTACTGGGATTGGTTGATGTGAGTAAGGCCGTCTGCGAGAAATCGCAATTCCACGGGTTCCTGCCCGAGGTTTGGTAGAGGAGGTTCATAGCATAGGAAGCGTGGGACAAGAGTGTGTTTGGAGTGAAACATGACCCCCCCGGTTGGATGGGGCGGCAATCATATCCAAGCCCGCAAACGTAGTCTATATTTGCTTGCAATTGGGCATCCGTTGCTCCTTGCTTTGGTACACACCAAACGTTGCCCTTAGGCGACGGGGCCGCAGGAGTTGTTGGTGTCGGCGTAGATGGAGTCTTTATACAAAATAAACAAATTAATAAATAGAATATAAGAGTTGTTAGAGATGCACTTGACACCATTTTTTTGGGGGGTGGTAGGGGTACCCCTAATTTTGTACCCCAACTTTCACACCAGTGTATCACAGACACACACAGAGAATCATTCCAAACTCCAATGCAATAATAAATCAGGCAACGGGTGGCTCACCGGGACACTAGACGTTGAAAGCCCGGCGTCATAGGTCATGGTTGAATCAAGCCTGAAGAGCCCGAAAGACCTCTCGGAAGTTGGCCCGGGCTTCAAGTTCTCGTCGTACAATGCAAACAGATAGGTGTCGACCGATTTCCCGGGCATCAATGGAGTCCCGACCAACGACCTCAAATGGGCGACCAAATTCCCGATGTAAGCCTTGGCATTCTCAAGGCTAGGACCAACCTCTGTGCTGTCTCCCTTGTAAGGCCACCCGGTTTCGGCTACTCCTATCTCCACGTCATTGAACCCCATTGCATTCAAGGCTGATCTCACCGCATCTACCTGCATAAAATCTATGTTAGTTTCCTCCTCTCTCCTAACAACCATAATAAGCTTCCAGTTGTTTGCAAGCCATAAAGAGTCAACTCAACTTGCTTAGTCTTTCATGTAAAGGATCAATACAAACGAAAACTCAAGTTTATGAAGCAAGATTTAGAAAAGATTTTGGACCCGTTTGGCAACAACTTCATCGTTTTGAAAAGGCTATAGCTTTAGTGATTAGAGAGTTAATCTAGCTCATTAAAAAAATAAACCAAAATACTAATGCTAGTTGAAATTGTTGTTTCCAAACAAGGTCTACTACAAATGTTGTGACGAATCAATTCAACCAAAACTCAAGTTTGATGACAAGATTTATTCTTTTTACTAACATGTGGCATCATAAACAACACAATGTTCATGAAAGATTTTAAACTTTTAGACATATTTCATCTACTCTTTTGTCAATAATCGAGTTTTATGAGAGAATTTTCTAAATGAAGAAAGTGAATAATAGTTCTTTTTTTTTTGCTCCAAAAAATGGTTTATAAAAAGTTGATTTTTCAAACTTATTTTAGGCAAAAGTTTGGGTTTTAAAGCTAGATATAATGCTCCGTACAATAAGGTTATGTGACTGACCTGAGCGTCGAACATGTTGGTATATCGGAGTTTAGTGCCGGAATCAAATCGGCCGGAGTTTGGCTGGAATAAACAGAAAGCCAGTGTTTCCGGCGTGGGATCGCTCTGGTAAGCGAAGAAAGGGTATGGGTTTATCAAGAACTGCGACCCCGTGGCTTTATTGAAGCTCAGCAGACCTCTGAGCAAGTCGGTGACGGCGGGATCGAAGCTCCCGGCCGACGGCGGAGCAGAGGATTTCAGCAACGACATGCCATGGACCGTTGACACCTTCACCTTCCCTCCGAGCGACGCCGAGACAAGGGCGTTCTGCAGATTCTTCATCGCCGGCAGGAGCTGCGACCGGAGATTCGGGTCGCCGGAGTACAGAACCTCGTTCCCGACGTTTATGGTCGTGATCTTGCTGGCCGGGTAGAACGGAAGAACGTTGGACGCCACCCAGTTCCTGGCGACGCCGGGGTCGGATGCCATCGCCGGGATTTCGCCGTTGGAGACTCCGATCAGAATCCCGATGCCGGTGTTCGCCAGAGCCCCGATCATCGCCGGGTCCGCTCCGTACAACCTCACCTTCCCAATCGAAGTTGACCGCAGTAGCCTCGCGGTCGCATCCGGCGGCGGAAGATTATCCGCCACCTGGCCATAATTCACTCCGATGAACGACTGCGCCGCTGCAGAACAGTAAAAACCCATCAATTGAAAACCGAAACTTCAAGAACCCATTAATGGTAAATAAAAATCGAAACTTTACAATAACAGCAACAAAATTCCTCCCTGTTTTTCCAAATTTTCAAAAAAGAAAATCAAAGAAACGTTTTACCTGCAAGATGGAAGTGGAGGAGAAAGAGGAAACAGGAGGCAAAAAGTTGATTAGCCATTTTAGGAAGGAAGAGAGAGAAAAAAGGAGAGGCAGAGAGGAAGATGAAGCTTCTGGGACAAGAGAGAGAAACATTTTAATGGAGTGTGGGGTTCAGCTCTGACGGATCAGATCAGCAGCTCTCTCTACCGTTAGTACAGTCCGAACACAGAAAATTTTCCATCATGTTGATAATGGGAATCTACCTCCCATTCTTCAATTTCCTTTTTTTTCTAGAAAAATTCACTTTTCTTTTTCTCATTTTCGGTCTAAAATAATTGGCTATTTTTATTTTAAACAAATTTTAGTCATTTATTTTTTCCTTTTTGATATACTCCAAATTTATTAATCTTCATGTATGTTCAAAAAACAATGTCAAACTTTTAGTTCTAAGTACAAGTTTTATACTTTACCATATCATTTCACGTGTGCATTTGCTCGAACGTTGCACGTGAAATTAATTTTTTTAAATACTATAGCAATGAGGTTCAAACTGCGAACTCTTGGTTTACAATGTTCTAATACAAAGTCAGTCGAGTTAATTCAACGAAAAAACTCAACCTTGTAGTTATAAGTCCAAAAAAAAATTCTATACTCAAACAGAATCCAGAAATGTAATTAAAGTCACTATAAAAACATGTACATCAAGTGTGTTGTGTTGTCGGATACATTATTAATTACGTATAGCTGTATGCATTTTCAATTTTCAAAGACCATTTGTGATTTCTTGTTCTCTTTCGATTCCACCATTTTTACTCGATCAAACCGTCTCGTTGTCATATAATTTAATCCTTCTACTCCATTTTCATCATCTCTAGTGATTAATGATAGGACCTATATGATCTACACCATAAAATCCTACCGTCTTAAGATCTTGTTCTACCCTCATGTGTTCCTATTTATCCAAAATCTTCTTATTTATTGACTTTTTATTACTCAAACGCAAGACCATAAATGTTATTATAAGAAAGATGATATGAAGTAAAACTTGTTAAACTAATCTTGTACGATTGAAGTTTTTCAAATATTCCAAATAATTTTAGTTTGAAAGCATTTATACACAATTTGTTGAGTCTAATAAAATTCATCATCATTACTACCATCTGTATCGAATAATGTGTTTTTGATGGAATTTATAAATATTGTGGCCATTAAACATTGAAAATGAGGCCTTTTGGTCAAATTACTTAACAAAGGCCGTCAGACAAGACATTGGATCCAATGGGCTTAAGCTAAGCTAGACATAGGCCTTGTTTGGATACTAGCAGTTGGCTGTTGGCTGTTTATGTTAGCTGATTTGAATGGCTGATTGAGTTAGCTGTTTTGACCGGCTGTTTCTGTTATCAGTTAAATTTTAAGTGTTTGGCAACTTTAGCTGTTTGTAAATAAAATTACATAAAATGACATCCCTCCATTTATGGTATATTTTATTTTACAATTTTTTTAAATATCATATCATAAATATATTTTTTTAAATTAAAAAAATTAAATAAAAAATTATATATATATGTGTGTGTGTGTGTAGACATGATATTTATTTTTCATTTTTTTACATGTAAAAATTAAATCTTTAATATATGGAATATTAAATTTTAATTTCATTTAATTCATAATAAATTATAAATATAAATTTTTTAATGAATTATAAATATATATTTTTTAATTTCATTTTATTTTTTCGTATTTAATTTTTTTAACTTTTATTTTTATTTTTTACATATATTATAAAATATCTTTCAACAAAAATGATTTTTTAAAAAAATATTTTTCCTAACCGCTAAGTCCAAATGCTACTCACTTTGGCATTTCAGATTTTGGCTTTTCGGATCAAAATGCCAAGTGAAAAAGCCATTAGCCAAACAATCGTTTTGGCTGTTCGTTCGGTTAAAAAAGCCAAAGTCGGTCAAAGATGCCAAAAGCTATCCCAAATGCTGTTTTCCAAACATGGCCATAGTATTATTTTGCATAGCTTATTTCAAGAAAGTGTTTCATTTTAGATTTGCAGTTCTGTGAATTGTGAATGTCCTCAAAATGATCGTTAGTAATATTTCTCATAAGGCCTACTTTGTATAGCTTGTCTTGAGAGGAATCATTTTTCACAAGTTTGGTTACAAAGGATATTTTGATGAAATATTACCTAAAAGTGTCATTTCAAAAGTATTCAAAGTTTGTTTTCTTTAAAAGGGATATATATCTTTCCTCTTTTTTATAACTAAATTTTGAAATTTTCCTTTTCATGTTTTAAAAACAATATATGATTTATTTAGAACGAATAAGAATTCTAGTAGACATTAATAACGGATTCTCATTCAACGATATAATAAATTTCATCAATTCAATTGAATTCTATTTCAATTTCCTAGGACTATAACAGGCTTCTTTTACTTTGTCCTTCATTTTCGCTCTTTTTCACACGCCAAAACCCTCTAATTAAATCATTCTCTTCCATATTCAGCATCCACTACCCAAACATCTTTCTTTTCCAAATTAGTCCCTTTCTTTGGTGAAAAGGTCTACTTAAGGCGCTCCTCTCCCCGGGCATGGCAGGATAGTAAGGGAGATAAATAATGACATAATCTTTGTCGGATTTTTTGAGAGATCACCCCATATTTGGTGCGCACAACGAGCTATTCAAAAAGAATACATAGAATCTTTGGGCATGACATCCCCCCTCAAACTAACTAGGCTACCCATGCGAGCGATATAATCACATACATAAAATTATTGTTGGTGGTTCATAAAACAATGACGATATCAATTTTACTGTCATCCATAATCCAAACAAAAAAAAGCCTCCCGCATTTCGTCTTCAACGTTCCCTTTCAGTCTCTGCCTCCATCCCAACACTGAGTAAGTCACCTTCTTCCTTCTCCTCTTGTCTGCACACATGGAAGTAAAAAGGGGAAGTTTTATCAATGTGTTTCGCTCCCTGCTAATGAGATTGCGCATGTGCCCAAACGCGTGATTTTAGTCTTTCCTCGATGTCGGGAGAGTGGATTGATTCACCTCCCGTGTTTATTTATCTTTCACTTTAATTTAAGTATCTAAACAAATTTATTTTCTTAAAAAACAAGGGAAATATAGATCATTTTAATTTAAATTTTTTAAATTTTCTTTTCTTAAAAACATAAAGGAATGATAGATCATTCATTACATACACGGTAGGTGTTTCTCTCTGTTTATAAGCACTTTTTTAACTTATTAGTAAGCGAATGACATGTTTCTGTATCCTAATACGCTGCTTATAAAGCAGAACAAATTAATAAATCTTAATTACATATTTTTAAGTTAGTTTTTATGTTTTTTCGATTTGATCAAATTATTTACAAAATTGTCTCTCACTACTTATGAATATTTCCAAATAACTTATTTATTATTTAAGACATTTTACTTCCATGACAAAATACTTTACATATAAACAACTTACCCCAGTATAAGTTAGAAAAACTCTTTATCAACAATAAACAAGAAACAACAAAGTGAACAAACAGAGAGAAACACCCATATGGGAAGATGTGTATGTTTTTACCTTTGAGTAGAGAAGGAAAGAGGCGTGGATTGTGGGCGCAATGACATCTTGGCAATCTCTGAGACGGCGGCGTCCCGGACGGCGGCTGAATCGGCGGTCAAATCCTCGTACGCCGCCTCAAAGGCATGCTGCCAGAATTTGGGCAGCCCGACGGTGCTCCGCCGGTGGGTGTACACATCCCACATCTGTCTCACTACCTTCTCCCTCTCCTCCATTTCCTGGATCATCACCGAATACACCTCACCATTGAATTCCATTCACTCAATTGGAGATCAAAATTTGAATCCAAACAAACTAAAAATCGAGATACGGAACACAAAAGAAGAAAAATAAAGTGCACAATAACAGTACCAGAACATCGAGATCATCTTGGAACGCGGCGGCGGAGGCGGAGGAAGACGAATTAGAAATCCGACTGAGAGTGAGAGTTAGAGATCCGGCGGCGAACATTGACCAAAAGGCGAGAAGTAGAATGGCGGAAATCACCCATAGCTTCCAGTATTTCCCCTTACAAAACACCCCATCGGAGGCCTTGGAAGATCCGGCGGCCGGATTGAGTGGATTAGCTTGAGACTCTTCGTCGGATTTCATGGCTTTGGGGATAATTGTGCTGCAGCGCTATGAAGGCCTGTTTGGCGATTTTGATTTCTTAGAGAGAAGGAAGGTTGAATTGTTTGGTTTTTCAATCTCATGGTTGACCGGCCAGTAAGAGCAATACAGTTGTAAGAGGTGTCTTGGAATTATAAATCAAGTTTACCTTTCCAAAAAGTGTACAACTCCAATGGTGGAGTTGTACACTTAATTATTAGAAAAGAAAATATACATTTTTTAAAAAATCATGGGGAGGTAAATTTGAGGATTGTTGCCTTTGTTTCTTCTTGATTAAAGTTTTAAATTTAAATATTTTACGGAGTATAAAAATACAACTAATTTATTGGGGATAAAAATTAGAATGTCAGTTTTGAAATAGTTAAATATACATTATGTCTAATTACACATGTAAAACTATAAATACCCGAATAGAAAAAGCTTAAAAATACAGAGTGCAAGATTAAAAAACAAAATATCTTTTTTTTATTTCTTGACTTGTTAAGTTTTACAATGAAAAAGATACAAATTAATAATTTATAATAATACATTCAAGCAAAATTACAATAACTAAAATAATTGATGAAATAAATTTAAAAGGTGAGAAAAATTGATATACCTCCCCAAATAAAGAAGGTAAAGATACCTTTTCAAAATTGAAGAAGGTATAATACCTTCTTGTTTACCTCTCCCATTGGTGTTTACTCTCCCATTAGAGAATAATTTTTAATAAAAAGAGATATATATTTATCACAAATATTCCTCTTTATCCTTTCATATATCCCTCCCATTGGAGTTGCTCTAAGGCCACCGACGGCGTCGTGGGGCAGCCACACGGGTCGAGTGGGGGCCACTAGGCCACTATATAGAGTGGGGGTATTTGAGAAAGATTATTCAGAAAAAAAGTTGAGAAATGCTATTGTCACAAATGTTTCAGTCACAAAATACACAATCTTATCATTTGTGCACCTCACCAAGAAAATAAAATGATGTCAAATAATTAAAAATTAAACATTTAATTACACAAATGGTAAGTTTGAGTATTTTGTGACAAACGTATTTGTGACTCTAACATTTCTCAAAAAAGTTACCAGGCCCAGGTTTTGTCGAAATAGATCACAAATCCTTTCATTTTGAGAAAGACAATAGAAATCCTTAGAGCAATGGAAATACCGGTGACGCCGTGGGGCGTTACACCGCCCCCTGGGGCTTCACCGTGGCGTTAAAACTCCAACATCATACATTTGACGCAGCTTCCCTCCCCTATAATGGCTAAATTAGCCGTTTAAGGAAAAAAAGAAAAAATTAATTAATTTTTTTTATAAAGTTCAAACTACATCTCCTCCAAATCTCACACCTTTCAATCTCCAATTCTCATCAATCTTCTTCAGGTCTTTTTTCAATTCTTCAACTCTCTTTTCAACATGAATCCTTCCGACTCCAACTTCTTCCCGACGATCTCGAGCCTAACAAGCACAACATGTGGATCTTCCAACAATTTGAGAGTAATTTGTCGATGTTCGAGACGCATTCATCGGGGTATGCCTATGAGCTGAAGTCAGTTCCATAGACTCAACCGGAAACATTCGGCACCAAAAAAGTGCACGCCAGAAGAGCCACAAAACGAAAGGCACGATGACCGAAGCAACACGGTCATATACTCTGTATTCATGTACCAATTTATAAATACAATGACTTTAAAAAGTGTAAGATTTTGCTTCATAAATGAGAAATTGTAATTCAATTTGGGGTGGAGAGAAATTTTTACATTATTTTGATAAAAATATATACTCCGTAATACATTAAATAATACTCGTAATAGAAAATAGAACATTTGTTAACAAAAAATATTAAAAAAATTCTTAAAAAAAGAGAAACAGAGAGAGTGGGGGGCTGGCAAGGTGGGACTAGGAACGGGGTGAGGAAGGCTTTGAAGAAGAAGAAAGGAGTTGAAGAAGAAAAGAAATGAGGTCAAATTAAAAGCTTTGAAATATATAAAATTTTAATTTAGCTCTAATGACCGGAAGTTCACCTAAAAACTAGTAAATGAACTTTTAATAAAAGAAGTATGTAAGTTCAGATATTTTGTAAAAAAATTTAAAATTCAGATTGTATGAAGAAGAAGAACAAGATTGGAGTAGGAAAAAAAATGGAGGATGAGAGAAAAGAAATCTTAAGAAGAAAAGATTGAGAATGGGAGAGAAGCCATAGTTGTCCCAGATTTCTCCCATTGAGGGCGTATATGTCATTTGCCAGTCAATAGTTACAAAAGTTGTGGTTTGTCTTGGGTAAATTTCACAAATGATACCTGAACTTTAGCTGAAATTTCGAAGTAGTACCTGAACTTCAAATCCTTTCACAAAAATCCCTAAACTTACACAATCCTTTCACTAATGAGCCATTAGCCCGTTTCTAGTTTAACTTTCAGTCATTAGGGCCAAATTCGAATTTTATATATTTTAAAATTTTCAATTTGACCCCATTTCTTCTTTTCTTTTCTTCCACGCCCCGCCGCCGCCCGCCGGTCAAAGTCGCCGGAAAATGAACTTTTTCCGATTCCGGCGGGACCAATGTCATTCTCTTCGTCTTGAGACGAGGATCAATAATATCCAAACCATTTTTTCTAATTTGGCATGTAACTTCTCGAATCTGAAATTTTCTACTCGAAAAAACTCTAAAATTCGAAATTGGATCCAAAATTGGGGGTTTTGCAAATCTTCATCAAATCTTGCAATTGAGAGGACCTTGGAGGTCGCCCGGATGCCACGACCGCATTGGAGTTCGTGCCCGCCGTCAATTTCGCCGGATTTCGCCGGCAAACGCTCCGACCCGCCGGAAACCGCCGACGGGTCGGAGCATTTTCCGGCCAACTCAAATTTAATGTTTAATCGTCTCTTGCCATATTCACAAATAAATTGCAGGTGATTAATGCAGTTTAATTTACTTCATCATCAAATTGATCTCATTTTGGACTTTCATGTGGAAATTTCAAAATATTTCATTGAGTCTTGTTCCCGGCTCTTGTAAAGAGATGACTCCCATTCTTGGTCGTAAGATCTTTGCAACTCTCGACAACAGTCCACCAATTTTTGTAGAACATCTATTAGTCAATTAATGTATTTTTTTCCTTTCAAAATAGGGCCATGCTTTAAAATTTTGAATTATCTTCATAAAATTGTTTATTATTGTAAAATTTGGCAAACTTATGTACACAACCTTCTTAAATTTTTGCAAAATCTGGAAAATTTTGAAGTTAATAACATTATCTTACATACCAATGATGTCCACAACCTCTAGTAACACATAGCTTTTTGAAAGCAAAGATATAATTAGGGACAACAAGCTTTTTGAAAGCTGTTTAAATAAACCGTAAAAAGAATGGGTGAAACTCAAATAATTTAGGCTTATTTGAGTAGAAATAGAAAATCAAGAAAAAACTTCCCGATCGATTAAAAGAATACCAAAATCAGTAAAAATCTAAGGAAGTCAATCCAAATGGAAAAAACCAAAAGCTCAGAATTTTGCAATGCATCCGATCATGTTCTTGAATCACAAGTCCAGGCATAAATTTTGCAAATTCATCACTGCAAATTGGACCTCAAACCATTGCAGAAACATATTTCCAAAGAATCATACCAAAGCTATAAAAACCTTGAAATAAAAGTGGTAAACCATAAAATCAATGTGAAATTCCTCTCAGAAAAGCTTTCATATAGAAAGTAAGTTCAGACAATCAACACGGCATCAGTTTCTGACCGCCCGTCTGGCTTCTCACATCATTGAGATTTCACAGAAAAATATCTATCCCTACAAAAATGCCTCTCAAAACTGAAACTATTAAACTTCATTGGTATGAAAATTAATGAAAATTCACAAATACATGTGTAAACTAAAAATCTAAATAATGAGTTCAACAAGCCCAAAAAATCGAAATCAGGCAAAGAAAAAGGTCAAAATCTGACCTCGTTTTGGTCACTAAAAATTACTTTCTCCAGAAAACAGTAGAAAGTTGGATCAGAATGGCGTCAGATAATAAGCGGAGTAGATAGTCAACACGATTTGTGATCAGTGATCAGCATATCAAGAATCGTCATTGCCAAAACATGCTATAATTAAACAAACCATAGAAAACCGTATAATAAATATCAGACGGTTCATTTGACACCATCGCAATGGAGAAAAAAACACAATGGGTTGGTAAGCCATCCTTTGATTCAATTGATTTCCGCATCGTTTCTATCTCCATTAGCGAATTTCGGCTTCGCTATGGAGATGGTAAATCCGATGCAATCTGAAAACGCAAGTGATCGGAAAATACAAACCGACTAATGTTTAGCCACGGCGCAAGAAATTGACGAAGAGAATGCGTGAGAAGACTGATTCTCGTGAAGCTTTCTCTCCATTATTTAAAGAGAGACGTAAAAAAACCCTAGTCTGCAAATGATCCGAAACCAAACGCAGGCCCATATCTGCCAAACCATTGTCCAGATTGGTTTATTGAACCCAAACCAGCTTTAGGCTCAATTCATTTTAAGACCCACCATCTCCTACAGGCTACAATTACACCAAAGAGGCAAGGACTCTAAATAAAGTTAGACTAAAGATATACACTAATATTTTAATAGTTCATATTGATGCAAAATATAGTACGATAAAAAAATTACACTAACATCTTTGCTTGTGTGAATCATCACTCTAGTATCACACTAACACAAAATAAATGTGCATACCTATGTTCAACAATTTGGAGTACAAATCATTTTAAAATATCAAAAAATAAAAAATATAACAATTTTGAACAACACATCGTCATTATTAACATGGTCAAACTTTATTTAACCTTTTTGTTTGTTTTCTTTAGTGATTGGATGAAATTATAGACTATAGAGTACTAATTTTAGCTCTGCTTTTATAAAACTTTTGATATGGTTTTATACTATAAATTTTATTTTAAAATTTTCACACTTATAATTAATTAAATTGAATAAAAACTAACTTCAGTCAAACCTCATAAACATAAACGTGAAAAAAGTTTTGTAACATACGGAGTGGGATTTCATTGTGGTTTTTAAAATATACTCTCTTCGTCTACAAATAATCTTTTTCTTCATTATTCACAAGGTCAAACTTTATTATTTTGTTGGTCTATTTTCGATGAGTATTTGATAAAATAATATAGTCATGTTACTTATAGTTTTGCATATGTTTTGATGTAGTTTTTAAATATGTATTTTTTTACTTTTTAATTTCTCACCATTTTTTATCTAAAACAATTTGAAAATAATTTCATTCAAACATCGTAATGCGCAATGCAAATATTATTCTTGGACAGAGGGGGTATATTTTTTAGATTACGCATTATTAGGTTGAAAAAATGTATGAACAGATGATACACTGTGATACAGTCTATAACGCTCAAAAAAATAAAACCAACCTCTTTGATTCAAATGTATAATAAAGAGCATGGAATAAAATAAGAGGTGAAGATAATATCTTATTTATAATTCATATGTTTTATTGTAAATAAAGAGAAAAATATAGAAATATAAAATAATATTCTTACAAAAATGAAGATTTTTCTTTCAATATTAAAGTTATTGATCGATTTCCAAGTTGTGCTTCCATGATTCTAAAGTCCACTGTAAAATGTGGGTCTTTTTACACTTTTCGTAGACTAACATAAAGCATTTTTTAAAGCCTAATTCATCCCTAATATTTATATACTAAGATCTATAAAATAAATGTGGAATTTAAGATCACAAAAGCAATGGCACATCTCAACTCCATAAATATTGGAGTCTCGTTTATAGAGATATACACGATTAATATCAAGTTTCTATAAAATGAGAATTGAATAGACGGTTAGCAATTTACTAATTTCGTAACACAAAAATGTGCTGACCACTTTTTTTATTACTGAGGAAATTAGAAAAGGATAAAAGTTAGTAGTGATAGACACACCCGCTAAAATATTTAAGTGTTAAAAAGTCACTTGATTAAATGATCATCCAAATAAATATGTAAGAAAAATATAATTTCAGATAAAAAAATGATTCACCATTGTCCGTGTTTGAGGTGATATTTATACTCCGTAATAAATTTGAGCGAAATTTACATAAATAAGACTAAAATATAATGACTTTCTCAATATAGGACCATATGTTTTTATTTCACAATGTAGGATTTTTGGTCATTATGAAGTAGTCATTATTCAAGTAAATGTCCATCATTACTGGACATTATTCTTCTCACTAGGTCATTATTAAGTCTTATTTAGGGAATAAAAAAGTTTTAATCCTACATTAGAAAAGTCATTATGTTTTAGTCCTATTTAGTGTAAAATTTCACTAAATTTGAATATATAATATTATTTTATATTAATAATATTTAAATACTTTTTTAAGTTATTATTGTAAAAAACAATAAAGAGTCAGAAGAAATTTAAAGAAATTAATAACATCAAATAATTAATTTTTCTAACCGGAAAGACGATCTAATTGACAATTTGGATACTCACCCTCCCTTTAAATCAAAAAAGAAAAAAGAAACAAAAAATCAAATCCTTTATTATGCCTCTATATCCGAAGGAATACCGCGAAAAGCTCTTGGCGCGTTGCGTCTCAGCTCAACAAATTGAGTCCTAACCGCCGCATGCGGCGTGGTATTGCCAGCAGTAACCCAGGCGGAACCATCAAAGCACCCTTCACTGCCGTCACCATCCCCAATCGCATCGCTAGATTCCGGTGGGATCGACCGCGCACAGTCTAATTCGTGAATCGGTCTTTCTTTTATCAATTTAATAAGGTACTCATGCATATTTTCTGTTCCTATTTTTAAAAATGTTTTATTTCTCCTCTCACAATCCATAGGGTTCAGTTCAAGATCTGCAATGTTAGGGCTACTTCCCACTGTTTTTCTTGGTATTATGCTACTTGCTTTGCCATCAACCACAAAAAATGTTTGAATCTGCAATGTTTGGGTTGGATTGAAGTAACCGATTTTTATTTTTTTATGTTGTTGCTGATGGTATGTGTAATCAGTAGTCACCTGGATTATGGATGGGAAAAGAATATACATCACAGTTCAAAACTTCAATTTCTGAAGCTAGTCACAAATCTTGTTTCGCTACACCGTCATAAAAACATATTTTTGTAATTCTGTTCGTGATGTCTTGAGATTTGAGAACTTTCCCTAATATGGATATGTAATACGTATGGGGATAGGAGAAAGTTTGAGAAATTGGGGAACAAGGAGAAGAATTTGAGATAGGAGTGATAGAATTTGGGTTTGAGAGGAGTATTTTCTTGATTGATTCCTTAAAGAAGTTTCTCCTTTTAGTTTTTGCCCACATCCTTTTGTGTCTTGGAGTGTGCATTAGAAAGGATCCAAGTTAAACTTATTGGATATAGAATGTCTCTTTTTGAACCATTTGAGCGAAGGCTCACTTGCTTATTGTCAGGTTTTTGGTTTTTGTGTTTACTTTTTGTTTACCTGTTGTTTTTTTCTGCTTCAGGTGCTGCACATCGTCCCTCGTGTCTAAATTGAAATCAACTTTCCGTACTATGCAGTGAAGATGGAAATCATACATTCGCTCGGAGAGTCAGATCTTTTGCTTAATAAATTAAATGCCATCTATGAAACTGGATATGGTGCACCTGCTCTCAACTCTCCTGACAAATGTACAGATTCAGTGCTTGGTTTTGCCAGTATAGAGAGGAAACCCCATTGTCTTCAATTTATAGATAGAAGAGTGTTAGGGATTGACCAGGAAAGGAATGATTCTTTATTCCATGTCGTTCATGAAGAAGTAGACACGGATGAAGATGATAAGATGACACTGAGTCAACTTAAGGATAAGTCTAAAAAACATGGCGGTCATGATGATCTTTGCGGAGATGCAGACGATACAATGACTATAGGAAAACTAAAGAGCACGTGTTCCAAGAAAAGGGGATTTAGCAGTCACTCGGATTCAAGAGTAATTCATGAAGATGTGATCAGTTCTCAGTTAGATGAAGATGACGATGACCTCAAGGTCAATATAGGTTTTCTAAAACCAAGTCTGAGGAAGTGTTCAAAAGCTAAGCAGAGACGCATTGACATGTATCCTATTTCCTTACCTAAAAATGTTACTTCAGACGAAACTGAGGATGCCCTAGCTTCAGGTGTTCCCATGCAATTAAAAAAGGAATCAAGTTCTGCTGAAGTTATATTATGTGAAGTTCCAGAAAATGTTGTGAGTCAGCATAAGATACCTATGTCTGGAGAAGAACAACTTCATTGTATGCTTAATGAAATATCCTATGAGCACTTGGAATCCTTTGAGCCTGATTACTCTCCCTCTGATTGTTGTCGGGATTTGCATCCAAATAATCCCGAGATGAGTTTTGATGCAGAAACAATCATGAAGTCCAATAAGCACGTATTTGTTGGGAAAAGAACCTCTCATATTGGATCCATTGGTTTGGTGGATACACTGGATACTAATAAAACTGGTTGTGCTGACCTTCACGATGGTGAGGATATTTACATGTCTGAAGACGAAGTTGTTTGTGCCAATCTCTCACCTAATGTATCTGAAACAGTACTTGTTAACGACTTTTGTTGGATCAGTAATGATGAAACTTGCATGTCTGAAGATGATGGTGAGGAAAAGTGTCATTCAAACACACAACTTGGTGCTACAATTAGCCCTTTCAAGAAATGTATTTCACTCAGGGACTCTCATTCAAGCTCCAACACTGATAAGTTAGATTATGGGGAGCAGCCGCCAAAGTTTTCAAGCATGGATGAAGAAAATATTCCCACATTGAAATGTCTGCCCTGTGAATCAACATCAAATGTTAGTAGACTTTATCCATTGGGGTGACTTTTACCCCCCTCCCTCCCTCTTTTTACACCCTTCTTTTTTCTTCTGAAACAGTTCAAAATATAATATGTTGCACCTTGCAGGACATTTCTCCATCTTCTCAAGAACTATGTTTGACAATGAACTCAATGGATTTACTTAATGACTTGGATATTTACAGTAAGTTGTGGATGTATGATGGATATTTAACTTACCTTTCTCTGAGATTTATCTAATCCTTTTGTGTGAATGTTTTTTGCACTTTGTATGTGAATTGGCTTTTTGATACATGAATCTCGAATAATAAGTCAATCCTTACCACATAAATGAGATAGTATACTCACTGCTGCCTATTGCGGTCAATTTTCAGGATGCGATGAGAAGCTCAATTTTGGAGTAAATAGCAAAAGTGAAAATACTGAAAACCCATACATGCCCAGCTCTTTAAGCATAGAAGAGAATGGCTCAGTATCGGATGAGTTGTGCCAGGGAAAAATTAACATGTGTCCCAATGAGACTGAAGGAAGATTGGAAAATAAAGGAAAAGGCCCCACGCCTTATCGAAAACTAGAGGGTCGCCGGCGGAGTCATTCTCAATCGCTACCCCACTTTAGCAGTGGCTGCTCCTCTGTTCAACTTTTTTCTGCAAGTGCATTAGCATTTTCACAGCAGCAGATGCATGACATTGAGTCACTTGCAGGAATGCTCTTGTTCGAGTTGAGGTCCATAAAGGACATAGTAACAGGAAAATTGCAATATGAAGGCTGTAGCGGTGAATCACTGGAAAATGAATTGGATAAGGTGTGTTTCTCTGCCATATTTAATTCTTATAAACACATTACAGTAATTAGCAACAGATTTTTTATCTCTTATCACTGCTCACCAAGTTCTAGCCTCAAAATTGCTGCTTTCCTGATGTCATTTACAGGACAGCTAACAAGTTTATCTTCCTTCCGATTGTAGGATCTAGAGTATTTTTTTTCATTTGACAATAAAAGGTTAAAAAAACCTGGCTTCAATTTAAGAAAGTGGTTGCCCTCCCTGCAGAACCATTGCCCTTTTTAGCGATGAATCTACTTTTTTCATGTCGTAACTCTGGTGGCTTGTGCGGTTGGGAGATTTTGGAGGGGGAGTTGTTTTTTGTTTTACGAAACTTTATGCTTTAGTCAAATACGGAGCACTTCTATGTTTAGTTAAATCATGCATTTCTTCTTCACTTTATTTTCAACCATCCAAATGTACTAATAAATGAATCTGCAGAATAATCTCAATACAAGACACCACCTAGTTTTCCATTTCCATATCGTTTTCTTTGTAACTCTTGCAAAATCCCCTTCAAGCTGCTTTCTATTTCTTTCTTTTGGATGGTTGGTGAACTTATAATGCGGTTTAATCTCTGCTTTTAAAATTATGGCACACGTGCATGCAAGCTTTGACTTAAAGTTAACGCACTCCGTAATGGTTCTTGTGATCTGGTAGGACCCAAATCTTTTACTTTTACAAGTGAGAACTGCAATTTTGAAAGCAAATAAAGTTGGAAGAAAAGCTAGAAAGCAGCTGTCCAAGATGAATAAGCACTGCACCCGGTTTTGCAAACTCTTGGTATGTAATCTTATTTTTATATTTTGATTTTAAAAAAAACTTTTTGTAAATCTTATGATTCTCAGCCCCCGCATATAATGGCAGGAAATTAGTCGAGATGGTGCCCCTCCCAATGACGAAGTCCATAATAAGAAAAGAAAAATTGTATTTGCTGATGAAGCAGGTGGTATGCTCTGTCATGTGAAGTATTTCAGTAATGAGTCTCATGACACAACCTTGAAACAGCCTGATGATGGGAAACAAGAATACTAGAATGTGACTAAGAAGGGAAGGCTCACTTTGGTTGTACATTTTTATACGGGGTACGATAATAGTGACCGCCTTAGTCTCTCTCTTTTTTTTAGTTGAAGGCAACCTGCAATTGAAAGAGGTAAATTATGATTTTTTTATGGTACATTTTGCTTTGAGCTTCTTTTTACTCTTATGCCCTTTCTTGTCGTCTACAACCTTCAAGACATGTTATCAACAACAACACTAATTGACCTACAAATGTGCATAGGATCCACTCTTTCGACTCTTTTCTATTTTGTGTAATTACCCATTTTGGTTTTCACTTCTTTATCGAGTTTTTGTTGCGTTCACATATACAATGTATTTATCTTCGCTCCACACACTCACATCTTTCGATTGAGGCACATACCAATGTTGATCATAACAGCACATGCGACGAACGTCACATAAATACATAATTCGCATCATAGTTCAGTTCACGCAAGTGTTAAACATTATTAGTTTTATGCTCACGAAGTTCAACAATAAGTTCAACAATAGTGTATAGTACTCATATCCCACTTTGGGCATAACCATCAACTCAATCACATGGACATGTGCATATTGATAATGTTTGATCATATTAGTGCATGATCTTGGCTTAACCCTATGAACGACTTGTGACTGGTCAATATGCCACAAACATCCATATGGAGTTATCCCCAGTCAAAACAATCAAAACTAAAAGAATGGTCAGTTAGAGGATTGCTAACCGGTACTGGCCTACCATACTGACATCCAGTACCTAAATACTGAGATGTATGAATCTTCAACATCAACAATGGGTTTAAGTCATGGTTTCCGATACTAGTTCACGGTATTCCAAAAATGTGTAAATGGCACAAATATGAGACAAAAATTGTGGGATGAACAAAAATGAAAAACTGCACAAAAATAGTGGAATCTTCAACATCAACAATGGGTTTATTACCAGAGTAACAATTGCACCAAAATATTTCACTTTTTGAACCCAACATTAGTTTAAACTTTCTTTTTTTAAATTCTTTATTTTTTAGACTACTGTGAATAAAGCTCAATTTACTTTATCTTAGGTGATTGTCCGGGTAGTTTTGAGGTTCATCCTTTTTTAAAATAGAACGCTTAAACTTTATCTTCTACTTTTAAAAAAGTCATTTCGATCTGTTCCAGTTCATAATTTAATTAATTAAAATCATCATTAACGTTTGATCTAATTTTGAGAACTATGCACCAAAAGTTGTTGGAGTTTTCAACTCGGGTCCCAAGGATCCAACATCATCCTTATGCCGAAGGAGGCTATGAACAAGCATTGTTATGTGTAGAGGAAGATGAAGAACACATCATGGCCATGGAACATTCGAGAGAAAGTCATTGGCTCTTTTCGGTTATGCCTTATGTTTGGTTTAAGGAATAAGGAAAAAAGAAATTGATTTTCTCTATTTTATTTTATTTTATTTTCTTGTTCTTTATAATCAAACAAGAAAAAATTATTTTCATTTATTTTTTTCTTTTATGTTTCAAATTCCTTAAAGAGTCACATGAGAGGCTCTCAAACTCCATCACTGTTTACAAGTTAAAAAAAGACTAAGGATGGGGTATTTATAGGCAAGGCTTCCAAGCCAGGTCAAAATGAGAAATAAAATCATTGTTCCTGTGAATGATGCTTTGTGACGTGACATGTGGTGAGTTAAGCATTGCAACTTATGACAACCGTAATCATGAAGGGGTAACTGTTATCACGATTTCCTATCTAATATGTTGAAAAGACGCACAACGAATGTGAAACACTCCACCGCTCTATTCGGCCTCCAATGGCTTTGTTTGAAACTATAACTCGGGATCCACATAAGTATAGTTATGATGTTTCTCTTAAAAAACTAATAATAACACAACAAATATTTGTGTAGTCGAACAATCTAAATTAGATGGATAAAATAATTTTTAAAAAAAAAATATAAAAAATGATCTTTACTCGGTCAAATTTTGGTTCGATTCAAATTTTACCGGTTCAATCTACTATAATCCTTATCATATTCACTTTGATCTCCGTACTTCAAGCCACAAAATATTCTTTTTTGTTTTTGGTCTAGTCTCAATTTAAGTCGGTCCAATTCGGATTTGGACCAATGCACATCCCTAATATACATTGTTCCACTTATGAACCAAATTTAAAAGTTTAGAGCCCTAACAAGTTATTTTGGAATTAAACCGAAATAAAAACTGACAAATTAAAGAATTGAAACAGAAGATGAAGATTGCGATTCCGATTCATATATTTTTGATAATGGAACCATATGTTATGGCTCAATTTCATTTTATTTTGTTAGATCGGTTATACTTATAGTTCAAAAGAAAATCAAAATTGTGAGAAAAATTAAATTTTTGCATAATCCAATAATTATTTTCTTGAAACATATTTATTTTATAAAAAAAATACTCCGTAATAAACAAATCAGAAACTAAAATAAGTACTGGCCAGTGCCTCAAGGTTTCAATTCGTCTAATCCATTATTCTAGTAACCGGAACCGGAAGCGGAATCGAATCAAAACCGGAACCTAAACCGGGGGATTTCCATTGGATTTAGTTTGAATAATTGGAAAACCCGCACTATATTAATCCGCGTCTGTTAAATTCCGCCAACCCGCCATTTTCCAATACTTTTGAACCATTTGCCGCCCAAAACTAAAGGCTTCATCCACTCCCCCGTCTTCGTCGTCTTCACTCCGCCCCCATTGATCTTCACAAGCCGCAAATCAGATCCGTTCTTCATCTGTCCAGGAGGCCCTGTTTTAAGAAAAACCCTAAAATCTATTGTTCAGGAACATCCGGCCGATGGAAAGCTACGACGACTACGAGTCGTTCTCACCTCCCGTCGAACTCCCGCCGTTGCTGAAGACTCCGACTTTCAAACGATTGAAGAAACCCGGGAGGGCCGCGGAAAATCCTCCGGCGAGTTCAATTGACGACGTTTTTGCGTTTCCTCAAGTCGATTTTGCCAAATTGGAAGCTCTGGAAGCTTCTGAAACCTTAGTAGACGATTCCGATGATTCGGAGGGGCCTCTGTTGCCGCCTCCAGGCTTAGATGATGATTCTGAGTTGGAATTTGACTCCGTGGGGAAGCATAATGAGGGCCGTAGGGTTTTGAGCTCGGATGAGGAGAGTGGGTTGGATATGAATGCAGAAGGACTGAGATCTGTTGGTGAAAATGTAGAGATGGAGGGAGATCTGGAAGTTGAACCCACGGGCGAAAGGTTTTTGGGTAAAAAAGGCGAGGAGAGTGAGGAGGAAGCTGGTGAAGGGCTAGAAGATCGGAAGCTCGAGATAAAAGAAAACAAAAGGAAAAAAAGTGCAGATTCGAATTCGAATGGAAACGATAAAAGTAAGAGTAAGAAGGCAAAGGTGGATGATGGTGTTGATCTAAAGCCCAAAGAGTCAGCTCTGAATAAACGAAGAGAACAGAAGGTGCATTTTTCTGCCTCTTGTGTACTTCCCCATCAATCATCCCAAATGTGAATTGGGCTTCGCTGATTTGTTATGAATTTCTTCAGGAAAGGAAACAAAGTTTGCAGCAGCTTCATGCTGAGACCCAGAGGCTATTACGAGGTCTGTCCTCCCGGTGGCTTTAAATCTATGACCATGATCTTTTATTTTCAATGATCAAGAGTTTAGCTTGGTTATAATTATCTGTGACATCTTGATCGAGATCTGTTTCTGTTAATTTATTGCAATCTTTACCTATGCTTGCAATTTCTTTTCCTATTGTGTGAATAGAAACAAGAGATGCCTCATTCAAGCCTATACCGGTTGTGCATAAACCCATATCTTCAGTATTGCAAAAGATTCGGCAGAGAAAGCTTGAGATCTCAAAAAAGTATGTTGCTATTAAATATTTAAAAATTTTGTCTTTTGGCCCGACACTCTTGTATCTTAAAATGTTGCTCTTTCTATAATACTATTATTATTTCTCCGCATTATGATTAGTATAATTACTGTTTTTGTATACAGAAGTATATCATTAACAAACAGCTATTCTATTCATACAAACAATGGTGGAGTGAGAGAAAAAGTGGCTGAAGAGGACTTAGACAACATTTCTAAAGAATATTTCGTAGTTGAACAATCAGAAAACATGACAGAGTCACAGGCTGAGGATTCAAAAAATGTTGCAACTGGGTCTTCAGTTCCTGAAGTTGATGCAGATCGTGAAAGAGTTCCAAGTCAAGCGGTGAGGGATATTGCATGGACTTTCTTTAGGTTATTATGTTTGGGTGGAGAGTTTTGGAGGGCTTAGTTTATAGCTTCATATATAGAGTGTTTCTAAAAATGAGTAAAAGGTGACATATTACATTCAGTTTCCAGTTTTAATTTTAAATAAAATCTCAATTATATATTAAGATGTAGACTAAGGCCTCCAAACTCCAAAGCCTTTCGGCCCTTTCCCTCTGGACTAGTCTAAAACTGTCTATTCAAGCAGACCATTAGTTGCCTGTGTCGTTTTTTGTCAATTTCATAATCTGCTAATGGAGTGCATTCATGTGTTGATTCTCCTTGACGTGGTCTTCATGTTATATTTATCTCTGTCATTATGCCCTTGCAGGTTCTGGACGAAGTTGCTCAGCCTATGTTTCGAGCTCCAGTTGATACACAGGTTTTTTATCTGTATACTTCATGCAACAAAGCTTAACATTCTACTACCACCAAACCAATGTTTGAATGATGAGGCCTTGTTTTATTTTATTACTGTTTTATTTTAATCATCAGGATATTTTTGGTGATTCTCAAGATATTGAGGAAACAAATGAGACCCCTAAATGCAATGAGGATAATAGTCCATTGGAAGAAATAATGGCACCATCTGTCCTTGCTATGAAACTGAAGTTTGATTCTATCCCTCCTGATGAATGGTGAGTTATATTGGTTTGCAGGCAAAAAGACTTCTTAGTCCGTCATAATTACTCCCATTTCAAGTTCCCCTTTTAGACATTCCTTTAAAACCAAAGACTTTCTCTTTGTAGCTCTTCAGATGAAGAAGACCATCACATAGAGGATATAGATCAAAATCCTGATCTAGACTGTCCTCCAAAAGGTGACCCAGTTAAACTATTTGTTGACGAGGAAGCTGAGGAAGATGACAGTGACAATGACGCCCACCGCTTTGATCAAAATGAAGATGATGAAGATATTGATGATTTTGAAGAAGTCAAAGATATGATTGCTACTAATTTTGAAGAGAAACCCTCAGATAATGAGAGGCGGAATGACCTTCATAGGAAGTGGCTTGAGCAGCAGGATGCGGTTGGAACTGAAAACCTGCTCCAGAAATTAAAATTTGGTTCCAAACATAAAGAGACAGCATTGCTTGATAATGAACAAGTGGACAGTGAGTCTGAAGAATTTAATGATGATGCTGAAGAGGAAGCACATCCAATGATTTCTGCACGACTAAATAAGAGAAAAGCAAAACAAATAATAACTCAGATGTTTATGGAAAAAGATGACGTTTTTTTATCAGATGATGAAGAGGAGAAAGACAGGATGATTATAAAGCAGCATGCCCTTATTAGAGCTGTAAGTCCAACTTCATCTTATATTATTGGCAAATTATTTGGTCATTCCTCTTGGGTTGTATTTGAATATCTGGTAAAAAGCATAATTGTATTGTTACCTGGCTTCAAAAACAGGAAGACCAGACAACATTGGTGTCTCCAATTGAAGATGAAAATTCCAGAACATTTTTTGGTCTTATAAAGAAACTGAATACAGTCCCTGACAAAAAGAAGAAAGCAAAACCATCCTGTAAGCTATGATATGCAGTATTCCATTTATGCTATGGATTTCAAATATTATCGTTTCTCATGTTTCATGTCCTCGTACAGCTTATTTTGAAAAAATTCTAGGAGGCTCAAAAGACAAATGCTCTTCAAAGGTAAGTCTACTTATTTTATTAATATCTTGTATTGCTTATAATTGAGATTTTTACTTAATCAAATTGAGATTTAGTGTCTGCTTGGTATGCCCTTGTTTTGCTTATAATTATTATTAGCTTGATGTTTAGCAAAAACCTTCTAATTTGGTTGTGCTTACTAAGCCAGTTGATTAAAAAACTGGCATCTAATTTTGCTTTTTTTTTGTTGAAGTGAAAAATATATCATATCTTTGTATATTTAGCATGTTTCGCTTATATTTTGGAACAGATGATGCCAAAAACATAATGATGCCTCAATGCATATTGTGTATTACAAATTGAAATTGCATGAACTGCACCAGCTGTTGCCTTGCAAACACTTCATATGCTGTGTTTTATAATTACAAATACCATGATTACCATGCTAAAATTTCACAAAAGGACATTGAAAATATGTCATTTTTAATGTTTGTTCAAGTAATTCAAATACTTCCCTCTTGCAGTAGTATGTGAATACTCCTTTATGTACCCATAGTTTTATATGAACTTGCTTATAGGAAAACATTTATTCATAACCTCACACATTATTGAGCTAAAAATATGCACGTTTTTCCCTCCATTTGTACGTGTTGCAGTCATCCTTTCTTGGGCGAGCAACAAAGCGTCATATTCCAGTACCCAACAAGCAAAGTTCAAGCACATTTCGATCTTTCATCTTTGAACGTGATGATAGCAATAGCCGGACTTCATTCCCAATGTCAGATGATTCCTCACACACGGTATCTTAAATGTCCTCCTACAAACATTGCCTCTTTAACTTTGCCTTCTTTGAAGTTTGAAATCACTAGAGTCAAATTTGGAGTCTCTTTTCATACGCAGGTCGTCGTAGAAAAACATCCAACCAAGAACAATGTAGCTAAGTTCAGTGGTTCTCAAGCAAAATACAGTACTCCTAACAAAAGCTCTGGTGAAGAAATATCAAGCGGGCTTTCCTCGTTTGATGTACGACCTTCGCCACCCAGTCTTGGAAATGAAGAAAATGAGAAATTATTTTCAATCAAGCTCCGCGGGCTGCTTTCGAGGCTCCCAAGAAGGAAGCAAAGTTAGGAGCTTCTCTGTGAATATCACATTATTTTGTAGGACTCTACTCACTCTTGGACTAAATATATGGCACAAAGATAATCCGACACTAGAGGAGTGAAGATTTTTTTAAGGTTTCATATGTTTTTTTTAAATAATTATTTTCAATAGAATGTAAAATGTGATAAGAATAAATAAAAGATAAAAAAATACGTTGAAAAGAACATGATCTAGGTGTTTTTTGACAAATTGAAACATACTGAGTATGAAATCAAATTTGGCACAAAAATTATCTACTCTATTTATAATATGTAAATATTAAAATTATATGGCATATCAAAATAGGATTTCTTATGCTTCTTTTCTTAAATAGGAATGTTGATAGCTACATGTTGATGTTGTATTTTGGTTTTTGAGTAAATTCTATAATTGATTCTTTATAACATAGATTTTTCATATTTAGTACTCTATTATCAAATATTACTTCCGTAGTTATTCTTTTGTGGGTATCTTTTCACAAATATGAACTTTTTGATCTTCTGTCATGTTGATGTTAATTTGAGGGCTAAAAGTGTAATTTGACATTAACCTTATGTCCAGTAACGTATTCTGAGGTCGATTAGACGGACAACACAATAATAATGACTACAACTATGAACTAAGATTCCGACGAAAAACCACATTTATAGACTATGATTGTAATAGAAAACGTCTGCATTCACAAACGATGTATAAAGAGTGACCTCTGGAATTGTGTATGACAAGAATGATAAATGGTCATTGTAAGATTATACTTTTAGTCCTCAAAAAAGAAAAGGGGAAGAGTTTTGTGAGACAGAGGAGTAATTTTTATTTTTAAATTTTACACCATTTTTCATATAAAATGATTTGAAAATATTTCAGTCAAATATCGTAACGCGCAACAGAAAGTTTATTTGTGGACGGAGGAAGTATTTCTTTGTAGTGAGTACAGTATAAGTGAAGTTAGACCTGACAAAAATGACCCGACCTGTTTTTGATTCGAAACCTGACGTCCTGACCTGAGAACACTGGATTTTGAACAAAGGTTTTGATGACCGAACCCGCAGTTGACCAAACTCGAAATGACATGTTAAAAAAGGGTCAAACCCGACCGAACCTGAACCCGACCGACCCGCTAAAGTAAGAGTTTTTCAAAATCATACACTTTACTGCTCGTTTTTAATGTATAAATTTATATTTTCAGACAAAATATTAATGATATTATATAATTATCTTACTTTTTTCTTAAACTTAAGCATTTTTTAAATTCCTTATATTGATTTATATATTTAAAAAAAATTTTAGGTTTTAAAATAGAATAATCTAATAGATTTAATACATATTTTTTAATATTTTAATTTTATTTAACAGAAAATGTAAATGTTAATTTAAAAGTTTAAAAAACCAAAGTCATAAACCGTTGGGTCAACCCGAACCCGATGACATTGGATCATGAATATATAGTTCTCAACCCCAACTCAATAACTCGAAGTGATCGAATTTAAAGCCGACCAATTTGCCAGAAGTTTGAAATGCTAAAGTGTACTCCTAACTTGGCCCCCACTTTGACGGTGTCTCCCATTTGTGACGAAAGGCCGGTAGAGAAAAATCTGTTAGGAGAAAAAGCCATGATAAATATCCAATTCCCAAGTAATTTCTCTTCTTTCGGCCACGCTTCCCCGAGGCTCCAACCAACCGAAACGGCAACAACAATGGGAGTAGAGTAGTCTCCCTATGACATCGCCAACCTCATCTCATCCTTCTGGAATTCGCGCTTCCATCGTCCCAACCTCCATCTGTATGCAAACAAATTTCACAGAGAAGCTGAGTTTTAGTGTCTCGGACTCTCGGAGATGGCGGATTCCAGGGGCGGCGGCGGTGGCGGACGAGTTTCCTCCGAAACCGCCATCCCCTCCGGTTTGAACCGTATTAAGACCAGGCGTTTGGATCCAATGGACCGGCCCAGTTCGAGAGCGTCGGCGGACTCTAACAACTCTCCAAGCTGTGGAGCTTCCAGACCTCATCTGAAGCAGAATCAGAGGGCGTCTGCTGGCAGAGCACCCGGAGAAGGTTGCTTCTTCCTCAACTCATACCTAGAGATCGTAATGTGTTTTTCCTCGGCGTGTTGGAAATGTCTGCATGTGTGCAGACACATCTGTAGGCTTTTAGCCCTAAACTTGTTATGAATTAGCTAAAAGGAAGTATAGAAAAATCAACTGCAGAAGCGAAAATGAGTAGCATTCTGTTGCAACAGGTTGATTGTTCATTGCTAAGTTTGATTGCTATACAAATGGATTCGGTAAAATTTTAAGGCTAGATATGTGTAATTTTGCACTGTTTATTCGGATAGCGGGTGCTTGTACTTGGTTTCGTTTTCAGTCCATGAATCTAGAAAGAGACAACTGGAGTTACTAGGAGGGGGGGAACTCGTATATTGTATGCACTTGCATAGTGGATTAAGATCACAGGTGTATTAAGTTATAAGTTACATTTGGAGTTCCTGAATCTATAGCATGCCTTGAGTGAGGCTTATGCTTGATTTTTTGCATTTTACTCCGTAATTTTATTTACTTCATTGAATCTAATTGTGCTAAACACTATAGGATGCTGTGAAAGAAGAGAGTTAGCTGGTTGGCATGTAAGAGTTCTAGAGGGGTACAGGAAATTGAGTGGCATTGACAAGGATGGCTGTGGTAGGAATGTGAATGAAATTAAGCAGAATACAGATGTACTGGAATCTTCAGTAGGAGGAACATGGAGTAACTCATCAAAAGGGTTCAAAAGCTTTTCACATGAACTAGGGCCAAAATGTGGAATTCAATCTGTGCATCCTCGGGCTCACAGCTATAATGATATGAAGGTGCCACTTGTTCTATTTCTATTTTTTGTTTCTCGTGGTTAGGCCGTTAGAGTACTCCTTATATTCTTGAGAGATGGTTACTAGGATAGTATGAATTGAATGTAATAAAGTACTTGTTCTCTGAACTTTTGATATTGATCCGCATAAAAATGTCAATTCTTTATCGTTTTGACGGTTTCTAGCAGTCCTCATCTTCTATGTATGCTAAGTGCATCTATAGTTCTGATGAATGGTGGCTGGTGGCTTCTAGCACTTGACCGATCCAAGATTGGCAAGACAACAAGAAATGAGGGCTCTAATAGCTACAGGCCGTTGGTTAATCTGGAAGGCGCATTACTCTCTCATTTTTGAGGACCAGATCATCAACCCTTTGGAGTCAGTACAAGGCAAAAGAAAGCTGACTCATGATTTTTTTCTTAGCCGTTTATCTTACAATTAAGTTATCCCCATTGCCTCTTTTATCCTAAATGTGCAGTGATTCTGAAATATCCCATTTTTCTGTTTGTTGTCCATTTAGACCATTCTGTAATGCTTTATTCATCAATAAAGTTATCATTATCTTCTGTAAAATACAATTTGAAATTATCAATTATCTCAGTATATGAATTGATATCCAGGAATTGTTGGGATCATTGCATTCAAGGTTTGATGCTGCAAAAGAAGTAGTCAATACAGAATTAGGACACTTTTCACAGGAGGTGGTAGAAATCTTGCAACAGAATGATCCCCTACCCCCGGATGAAAAAGGAACTGCCGAGGGACTTCTAGTTCTTTCTCAAGAATGTATTCAGATGACATGCTTAGTATTTCGTAGTAAGTGTGAAGCAATCGTCCAAGATTTGACTATCAAAAGACAACAATGTGAGACAGGATTACTGAAGTGGCTTTTAACGCGCATGCTTTTTATTTTGACACGGTGTACCAGATTGCTGCAATTTGTGAAGGATAGTGAACCAGTCCATGAGACATCTCTGACTAAGTTTAGAGAATGTCTAAATAGGGTTCCTTTTGTTAAAAGGAATTGGGCTGTGGATGGAAGGATTGCTGATGTAAGTAAAGGCATTACTCTGGATGCCAATACAGATGGTAAATGCAAATTTCTTGGAGTTAACCACTCATGTGTTCTCTCCCCAAAAAATTATCCTGGGTCCAATGTGCTTGCTCATGAGAATGGAACAACTTTGGAAAGAGATTTTATGGATTCTCAACGAACTTCACCATCCCATGATTGTGAATTTGAACAATTAGATCAATCTGGTGGAAGAATCCTTGGTGAACATATGAACAAATACACTCGTGGTTTTTGTCAGGAGCAACTCCCGGGGTCTGATGATCCTAATTTTGTTATGTGTCGAATATGTGAGGACCTAGTTCCCACTATTCATTTGGAGCCCCATTCTTATATCTGTGCTTATGCAGAGAAATGTGAATCAAAGTTTCTCGATTTAGATGAACGTCTTCTGAAGTTGGCGGAGTTGCTAGAACAGCTCTTGGAGTCACGTAATTCAAGCATTCACGCATTGCCTGAATGGACAGAAAATCCTAAGTTGCAGACTGCATATTTCACCACCCCTTCGGAAGGCTGTTCACCAAAGATAAGGGAATGGCGAAGCAAAGGCGTGGATGGAATGTTTGAGGATCTTCATGAAATGGATACTGCAGAAATAGAAGATTCTCCACTCTCGACATTTCTCAATATGAAGGCACACTTGTGTTCAAAGCTCAACAATTGTGGTCCGCCATCATCAACTGGGAGTATCACTTCAACATCCTCTACTAATACCCCCCACACAGTAAATTTTGACTTTTTTTGGCTAGACAATAACAATCTGTCAGACCTGGAAGATACTCAACAGGTTTGGCTTTTGCTTCTAATTTCTTTAAATTTTAGATTTATGATCCATTATGAATCCTACTTTTAATCAGGATTGACGCCATATTTCAAGTAATTTATGCTTTAGTTATTGTACATCATTTTTTTGTATGGGTAGAACCAATATCTGGCAAGATGCACGATGGTAACGAAATGCAGGATGTCATGATATCCAATCTTGTTATCTGCTGCATGCCTGCATGGACATGTCAGTTAAGGAAACACCAGCCCGACTTTTCTCTAAACCCCTTTCCTACTTCAAACAATTTCCCGCTGCAATTCCTGCAAAAGTAATCTTTTAAAGCGATTTGGAATCGGAAAAGTCTGCATAATCTTATATTCAGCATTAGAGAAGAGCATAAGCTTTCATTTATTGTTTCAAAGCACTGCTGAGTTCTCAGCTTTTGTTGCAGATTGTTGACCTTTCAGATC